TTAGTATTCATTGGTAAATATTCTCTTACCTAAAAATATTGTGCAAGAGTTTGATCCTTCAGCAACTTTAAATTCCTGAAAAATAGCACAAAGAAAGCCACAAGGATAGCTCATCAGAAGAAGATATTCAGAAGAATCTTAAAAGTTTCTGTGATGTTAACGTTGAAGGGTCAGTACTTCACTACTTCAATCCTCTATATGATGCCTTTAACTTGACAATGCATCCTTCATGAATACTCAGTTTTCTCTTATGTAATGTAGGTTTCTGCAGTTATTTGAGACAAAACATGTACCATTGATGGCTGTCATTAATGCAAATACTTATTGTGAAGTAAACTGAAGTTTGCATCAAGAATAGTGCATCCATAACTTTTAGATATGAAATATGTGAAACTTCCATAAAAGAATGTTTTATTTTTCTGAGAATTTGGTTTTATCCATCATGTAGAATATAAGCTAAAGACAATACCAAAAGGTTGATGATGCGTGATTGTACACCTATTTACCTTGTGTAATTAGATTGTATTTCACCTATTGGATGGTATTGTTAATTAAGTAGTTGCATAATTTATGTTGCAGCTAATTAAGATATTGCCTTCCACTAATTAAGTAGTTATCTAATTTCAAATCTCTTGATTACACAAGTCTCATCGAGCAATCTTAAGTCTCATCAAGCAATCTTAGGCAGACGCTATCTGTTGCCTATCTCAAATAGTGCTAATACATATGTCTTAGAATCCGAGTATGGCCAATAATCTAATGTTCTATTTTCTTCCTTAATATTTGTTTTGAATAATGGATAAGTGTGTTTTCTTATGACTTCAATTTATAAATATCCGGTGTAAGCACGTGATTTTTTTCCTATACGAAATACTCCTATAAAATCCCAAGAAAAATAGATTTTTTGTTAATTATTTGACATTTTAGGAATTTTTGTAGAATTTTTAATTATTTGCATTTTGTGCATGTTTATGTTTTATTTAAATCATGAAAAATACCCAAACAATATCACTCATGGCATTTAGGCTTCATTTTTATATTTTTAGGATTAATTAATTAATTACTTGTTTTATAAAATTTGAAAAATCACGAAAAATGCTTCATTTTTATGCTTTTTCCTTTTATTGATTTTTTTCTTTTAATTTAGGATTAAGTAGCTTTTATAATTTTTATAATTAGTTAACTAGTTTAATATCACATTTTTAAATAACCTAGGATTTTAATTTTAGGATTTTTAATTAAAGAAAAAGAAAAAGAAAAGATAAGAAAAAGAATTTGAAGAAAGGATTTAATTGGATTTGAGCTAGTTCTTGTACCAAAATTAGGTCCAAATCTTCCTACCTAGCCCATAAATCCCAAGCCCATAATTCCTAGGCCCATACCTTTAACCTAATCCCTACCCCTATATAATAGTAGCTAATCCCTATATAAGCCTAGACATTTTAGGAGATTTTTCCATATAAGAGATACCTTAGAGAAACGGCGCATGGGCAGAGTTCCCTTCTTCTGATCAATTTTTCTCAAAAACTAAAAGAAAAAGGTAGCTAAGTCCCTAAATTCCATAGTCGTTTCCCCTTTCTCCACAAAATATTCCCATGTCACACACCATCAGAAAGGAGAACGACTGCTTCTCCTCCAAATTAGCAGCAGCCATCCAAAGTTCTATTGTTTCGGCCATGGCATAAATTTTTCGAGTTTGATTTCGGATTCGAAAGTCGAAGCTACAATTTGTTGTTCCTACTGCCGCTGAGCTCCTATCTTCCCTTCACTTTTATTTGGTTATTCAAGTTTATCTCAATTGCGGTTTAGAGGTATTTATCTCGATCTTGAAATGTAATGGTTGTTTGGATATTCATGTGCTATAAATTTTCTTAAATTGCAATGATATAGTATGATGTTTGGTAAAGATCTGTTTCTCTGTTTCTTTTAGTTTATTTTGATTAGAAGAAAATTCCTTAAGTAAAAGGGTTTAGAGCAGTCTATAATGTATTCGATTATTTCTTTCTTCCTATTTAATCTGTTTTTCGCTTAGCATACCTTAGGTGTTGCTCAAATTTCATGGCAATATTTTATTTTTCATTCGATTTTTTCCGACTTCGTCATCGTGCGATTGAACATACATGACCTTTTGGTTGTTTTTCCTTGTAATCAAGCAGCTTTTCAGTGAGTGAGTTCCCACTCTTAAATGAGTTGATTATTTTGTGGCCACAATTCTATTAAAAAAAAAACACTACAAGATTAGATGTATCCTGGACATAGTATGAACATATTGTGAGTTTTTGTTTCTTCCGATCTGCCTTGATGTGCGTTGCTTATATCATAAGTGAATTCCATTACTAAATGCTCTAAAAGTGCACTTGATCTTTGGACTTGTATATAATTACTGAGGCTGTTGTTGTCTGCTTCAGTACGACAAAATTGGAAGAATGAGATACAGAAATAGTAGTCCATATGTCATATATATATTTGTGGTCAAATGAAGAAAGGGAAAGTTGGGAGATCAACGATTTGTGTGTGGTGCGCTGTGCCAAATAAAATCTTAAAATGCACGGTCCTCTTTAGTTATATCTTTAAAATTTTAGAAATTCGGGACATGCCATATAGCGAATATTCATGGCTTCCCGCAAAGATAATAATACGCTAGTCACTTTAGACGCGAATTTTAATAATATTACTTTCCTAAACTCGGGTGTGCATTTCATGCGACCCAAATTCAAATCCCAAAACGTTGAATAGGAGGTGTCGAGGATCCGGGTGCATTTCATGTGACGTGATCCAAGAACACGCTCTTAAACGGCGTTCACTTTCATAAAAACTAATTAAAAGCGGTTAAGCAAATCTATAAAATTCCACTATAGGTTTGAACATGTACAAAAATTAGATTTTTAGCCATTTATAATAATTTAAGCGACCGTGCTAGAACCACGGGATCCGGGGGTGCCTAACACCTTCCCTCGGGTCAACAGAATTCCTTATTCAGAATTTCTAGTTCGCAGACACCAATTGGGAAGTCGAAATTTTCCTCGATTTGGAATTTAAGTTAAACCGGTGACTTGGGACACCAAAAGCCAATCCTTTCCCAAGTGGCGACTCTAAAAATAAATAAATAATCCCATTTCGAATAATGTAACTTTAAATGGAAAAACTCGCTTATAAATTTATCCTTCGGAGTAAGTGTGTAAAAAATGAGGTGTGACATCCGGTGCATTTACATGTTCAAAAAATAGTAGCATTTGCATGCTTCTTTGTATACAGTTTTTTTCTAATAATATTTTCTTGCAAAATTTCGTCTTTCTGAGCCGAGGGTCTGTCGGAAACAGCCTCTCTGCCCCTATCGGGGCAGGGGTAAGGTCTGCATACACATTACCCTCCCCAGACCCCACTATATGAGATTTTACTGGGTAGTTGTTGTTGTTGTTGTAATATTTTCTTGCAAAATTTTATATTTAATACTCTTAGTGAAGCGCGCGTATACAGATACTAGTATTATTAAAAGGAAGAAAATATAGCCTAGGATTATGACAAGTGGCGGCCTAGGAGAAAGAAATGTGGTAGGTTAGGACAAAATTATTTAGGTTAGTTAATAATAAGTTATTTAATTACTTTTAAATTTAAATTCAAATTCAAATTCAGACTTTTAAATATCTATATTATTTTTAAGGAAATAATAATTTTTATATATTGGGATAAGTTAAAATATAAAATAAAATTTACTTTGATATTAAAATTTTGATGACTTTTTAAATTAAAAAAATAAAGAGCAAAATAAGATCTTAAATAAAATACTTATATTATAGAGGCAATATGAGAGTATTTTAATAACTCTCAAAAATATTATTGATAAATTTAAATAATACCTGGATTAACAATAAAATCAAAGTGAATAATTTTTTAGGAGTAGAAAAAATCTATATTATATATTTCTATATTTAAATTTTTAAGGAAGTAGTAATTTGTATATGTTGAAAATTACTTATTATAAGTTTACTCACAAAAAAACTAAAAACTTTTATTATAAAAATAGAGAAAAGATTTATTTGAATTTGAGATGAAAAAGTATCTTTTGAATTAAGATGCCATACAATGGATTATATAACATACCTAAAATCATAATAGATAAAAATCAACATAAAAAAATATAGAACACTGAAGAAGTGGCAAGCCGCTGGAGATACTGGCAAAGCTAAATGAGGTGGATGATTTTTCACTGGATGAAGAAATTTAACTTTTTGAGGTTAACTATTCTTCTCTAGGAATTAAATTATAGAGACAACTCGATAAAATTTATTTATTTATTTTTGGTTTAATTTTTTTAAATGTGATCGCTAAATTTAGTATGCAATATACACATATTTTAATTAATTATATCCGTTGTTTTTCATATTGAAACGATCCGCATACCGCACGGTATGTATACTAATTACGGTGAAAAAGAAAACTTGTTCTTGGGTGTGAAAAACTGCTAAGTCGGCAATATATCAACTACAATTTGAATATTGGTAACATAACGTATTAAGTTACAAAAAAGACTATACTAGTACCAGGAGCTAACAAAGTTCAACAAGTTGTGTAGGGGAACCAATAAGGGAGAGGTTATGCCAGCTATATAGATAGAAAAGATATCTAACATTGAGGGAATGCTTTGGATTCTGGAGTTGATAAAAACCTTCAAAACATCATAATACAGTGGTTTTGGACAAAAGAACTGTAAAATTTCGAGAAAAAAAAGTGAAGAATATGCTGATTTTAAATTTTTGTGAGTGATTTGAAATGCATTTTGAAAAAGAGTTTCAAATTTCCAAAAATTTCGAAATTCTTCTTATTTAAAATTTTCGTGGCCAAACACGGATTCCGAAAAAAAGTAAAAACAATCGGGGGAAAAAATTATGGCCAAACGGATCCTAAATAAAAATTAAACTCCAAACTGGTAATGCACCAAATATACGAGTGCTTGATCTGACCAGACTAATTGCTTTATCTAAAAGAAAATACTTACAGTGTTAAGAAAAAAAGATGAAATATAGTAACTTAAGCTGGACAAGGTTAAGGTGGGTCTATGCGGGATGGGGCGGGTTTATAACACAAAAAGTTGATATGCAGGATGGAACAGGGCGATTTAAATTCTTCGCGGGGTGACGCGTCACCTAACCTAACCCCCTACTAAAACTACAGATATCTGTCACAAGCCAGCCAGTTATGAAGAAAGTGTAACTCATTCCCTTTCTTGAAAACCCAAAAAATGGGGAGAGTGTAAAATGTTATTCCCCTAGACACAAGTATTCTGAGATGAACTTGCCATTAATCAATAAATAGAGGCCAGCCAAACTCCAAAATTAAGGCAACATCTCAAATGCCTAATCAGCAACAACTGTAAGGGCAGAGTCAGACATCATCTGCTTCAGAACAAGAGTCAGTGAAACTACGCAGGAAACATTCTTTCCTTCTGCCATAACATAAGATGATATTTCTTAATTACTCAACAGTATATACACGGATAGCAAGTCATTTGCTAAGTTAGAATCTTGACACAGCGGAAGATGTAGCACCAACTCATATACGTACCATCCCCATACATAGATCTCTTTATAGGTACTGCAGTTCACAGGAGGCAATTTCCTGGACATGCTAATGCCAGCCCAAGATAAACCACCACCCTCAACTGGAAGGTGGCATATGCAATAAACTGGAGCCACTTTTCCACTTCCAATAACAAATATGTAGCAAACCAACTTGATAGAGCTAGCCATTACCATACTGTAACATGAGATTGAATTCATCTTCTTCTGCCATAATAAAGCCCGCCACCTGAATGATACAGATAGCGATGACGTGACCCACTGCCCCTGCCAGGTGCATCCCATGTGTTGCCCCTATGAGCAACTCTGCTCCCACTGTTTTGTGTCCAGCTTGGTGGCTGATTCCCTAACCCATTAAGTTCTTCTTCCTCTCTATCATTGTACTCCAGAACCAGCCTCTTGATGTCTTGCTTTTCTTCAAGCTCAGCTGCTTCTTTCTGTTTTGTGCTCTGAATGAGTGAGCAATCACGAGGAATGAGCATTTTCTTTGTCTGCTGCTTACTACCTCGCTTCACAAGAACCTTCACTGGAACCTCCTTACTTCCTCCAGCTCCTTCATCCAACGTTTCATCACCACTCTCTCCTTCAACCCCGCGATGGTCCTTAGATGGCCCCTCAAAGACATTCATTGGTATCATCATGTTTAGTGTAGGCCTTCCCCGTAATTCCAATTTTCTTGAATCCAAACTTTCCTGCAAACTCATGTAACAATAACCGTTAGTAGTATTGGGACAAATTCTCATGTGTAACTTATAAAGAAAGGAGTTACTAAATTCCAATTGAATCTCCTAAGCATATATCTCTTCAATCAGCATTTAATTCTTTGATATTTTATCAGAAAGATTCCCCGCCTCGTAATTTCTATGGAGGGTGGGAGGTACTTCAGCTGCCATATATCTACTTGCTTTTCTTGGCGTTACAATAAATTGAAAAGTTCAGTCATAAAGCAAAAAGTAAGAGACAACAATAAGCAGACCAGAGTCCTTTACTTGCCTGCATCAGAGCCCGAAGCTCTCTCTCAAATTCTGCCTCCTCCAGAGGATCAGCCCCTGCAACCTTTGACCTGACATGTACTTCATCCTCCGCATCCGAACCAGGTCCATCACCATCATCAGATTCATCCTCAGTGTCACCCCTCTCATCCCGATTCCCATCATCTGTCTCTTCATCATCATCGTGACCCACATGCTCAATGGTGCCATTCTCGGAATCACTTTCAGTCTCCATGATCTCTTCATGCATTCCATTTTCTTCAATGCCATTCGCAAGGCTTTTACCATTTACAGACATTCCAGAGGTTGTCCTGCTGGGAATTTTCTCGCTGTCAGAATGCTTCTCATTGTTGGCTTTTTCTACATTAACTATGCGCTCATGCTCCTCAAGGTCAACTAAAGCAGCATTGACTTCTTCAATTGATGCATATCTCATCATGTTAGGACGTAATTCGGCAAATAAGTCCTGGAAAAAATTGTGACCTCAATTCCAGAAAGATGGCAATGAATAAGAATAGTCAATTGTTGTGGAACAGAACCCACAGAACGGCCATCAGAAATTTAAGCAAAGACAAGTAACAAAATCACACTCCAATGTCTATAGTGAAAGAACCACATTGGTCTACAGTAACAACTAACAAGGAATTTGTAGGAAGAAACCGTAAAGCTTAAGCCAATAATGCAAGCATCTTTGAAGCCACTTTGTATAGCTTGTTCCATCTGAAGAACATGGCCTGGTACAACTTCAATACAAATGATACAGTACCTCAGAAAGAAATTTGTTAGAACTACAAAATCCAAATGCAAAGACCAATGATACTGGGGATGATGTTAGTTTCCACTCAATTTAATGGTTCAACATTTGGGTGATGGAGACAGGGTATGCTGATTGCCTTTGTTAATAGTGATAAATCTGAGACTAATGATACTGGTAATGGGGAGAATATGCGCTATAAGGACTTTTCATGAGTCTATTCCAGTGGACATTTCCACTTCTGTTCAGGTGCCTTCTGCTAGTGGATCTTGCAGGTTAGTTAAGGCATGGGACCTAATATTTTGTTGCCAGAATGTCCTTTTTCTTCAATGAATCTTTATTACAAACAGGTTGAGGCACATAGTGTAGATCAGTGGACTGTGAATACAGCACCAGAAACACAATCAGAACTATTCACGGAGTGTAACACACCACAAGATGAATGTAAACTATTTACAGGAATGGTGTTTATAGTGGATGGAATGAGATTACAGGAGCACTCTGTGGGGTGTGTGTGTGTGGGGGGGGGGGGGGGTATCCAGAATGTAGAGCCCTAGTGAAGCCTTGCCAATTCCGCAGTACAGAAGGGAGATTATATTGAAAAGATGGGACAAGTAAGATATCATGCAAGTAATCTAATTTTTAAGGTGAAAGAACCAGTAGAAGTGAGCTTAACCTTATATCCATGTAAGGTAAAAGAAGAGGATAAAGTTTTATCACTTCATATTCTATTCTAGAGATGTCCCATTTCATGAGCATATTTTCCTTATGTAGAGCCCTTGTGAAGCCTTGCCAATTTCCGCAGTACAGATGGGAGATTATATTGAAAAGATGGGACAAGTAAGATATCATGTAAGTAATCTAATTTTTAAGGTGAAAGAACCAGTAGAAGTGAGCTTAACCTTATATCCATGTAAGGTAAAAGAAGAGGATAAAGTTTTATCACTTCATATTCTATTCTAGAGATGTGCCATTTCATGAGCATATTTTCCTTATGATAAAACTTCATCCTCTTCCATTTCATATTTTCCTATTACAACTGATTTTCTTGATACCTTCACAGCTTCAGCTTCCCCTTCTACTACCATTAATTCCATTCCTTCTCATTCCACATCATCCTTATCTCCTGATTCTATATTTGTGTTCGCTCATTGTGCAGATGTTTCGGGAAAACTCAAGCGTGCAACTGATATTGATGATGATGAGGGTACAAAGATCAAGAAAAAGGACTGGGATAAGCTTCATGTGCATATTGCTTCTCAGAATAATATTCTTGATGCGTCGGGCTTGGATTCCTCATCTGCTAGTATTGCCTGCCTAGGTATGATTGACAATAACTTAACTTGTGTATCAAGGTCTTTGTGACTCCTGACATTACGACTGCATGCATTTGCATAATGCTTATGAAGTAAAAGGTGATTTACACATGTTGGGAACTGACCCAACTATGTGATTTAGCTTATTTTATGTTGCCTTAGTTCTGAGATGAGTGCAACTAATTGTGTCTCACTTATGCAATTTTTTTGCTTGCTACATTGATGAATGTGCAAGACGATCGGAAGCGGCTTTCTGTCATAGCTAGGTAACTAGAAGAATACCTATATCCCTCGCCATAGAAGAAGATTAAAATAAGATTAGGTTACACCAAAAATTACACTAATTGATCTGTAATTCGCACACAGGCAAGCTTTGGGAAATGATTGCCGAAGCTTGCACGGCGGCTTTGTTAAATGGGAAATGGGAAGGAGCCAGATGGCAGTAACAGCATCGTTGTCCGGCTGTTCGATGAGCAGCACTGGCAGGAGTTTGGATAATAGTTGTTGTGGTATGTAAAGTATTATGAGGCTCAAGAAAGAGCATTCCACTTTTCTTTCCTGAATACTGTTTCTAAAACTGTAAGTGCTACATTCAGGTCAACTCACCGCAGAAGGAAACAAGTAGCGCTTCAGAAATGATCAGAACTGTCGAAACCAGCAAACTTATACATTACAGAGCAACAGTACTCCTTTTTACTCTTTGCATTTGGATTTTGTAGTTTTAACAAATTTCTAATATTATATCATTTGTATTGAATATTACAGGAAGTTGTACCAGGTAGGGTTGTGCATTTGGATCAGATATCCAAGAATCCAAACCGATCTACTCTATTCGGATTTTTGAATTTCGGATATTCCGATCGGATATGGCTTAGGATTTTTAAAAGTTCGGATAATCGGATCGGATTCGGATTGGTAAAATTTTAATCCAATCTGATCTGAAATCCGAATTATATGAACATGTATAAATATTAGTGTTAAGTCTTCTCATTTCATTCGCATCTCTTTAGACTCTTCTTTTCTTAGTTTAGATCAAAGTCTCTCTCCCTGACCTCTCTTTGGATTGCTCCGTCCGCTTCTATTAAGTCTTACCTTTGTGTCTCTCAGTCTCGGTCTCTCCTTCCTATCGATGGACAACGACGCCTCTCCCTTATTAAACAATTGTTTGGAATTTCAGTTTATTTTATTTTGGTATGAAACTTTTGTTTTGTCTATTGCTGTGAAAGACATTTGTTGCCTTTCAACTTAATAGAATGGTAAATAGCAATAGCCTTAAAAAGTGCAATAGCCGATTAGATTGTTAGTAGCCTTCAAAGGCATACAACCCGATCCTAAATATTTATCCAATCCAAAAATCAAAAATATTTACCCGATCCAAACTTTAAAATCTGATCTGGGCCAATTTAATTCGGATTGTATTTTATAAAATCCGAAATCCGAATTTACAATCTGAAATATGCTAAATCCGATCCGATGCACAGCCCTAGTACCAGGCCATGTTCTCTAACCTTTCTTTTTGTTTTCCCTTTTCTTTTTTTTTTAGGGGGGGGGGGGGGGGGGGTCGGAATGTGTGCATGTTGCTACTTTCAGGTCCTTTGCTTCACCCTAGAGCCACCTACAGTAATAGTCTGGACTAACCTCATAGGTCCAGGTCCTCCTGGCTCCTTATCTGTCGGACAAAGTGACTGTATTGCTTCACCCTAGAGCCACCTACAGTAATAGTCTGGACTAACCTCATAGGTCCTGAGCAAGCACGGACTTTAACAGAGCATTACATTGCCACTTAGAGATAAATTGTTTGTGCAATTAATAATAATGATAATAATTCTAACCACCAGTTAGCTCAGGCGATATAACCTGACACTTTCAAGTAGGACACTATAGATTAAATCCCCTTAACCCTAGATCATACAATTGCAAGTAAAAATAATACTAAAAATTGTAGAAAAAATGAAAGAAATGATTGAAGCAAAGAGCATAAATATGCCATCTAACCTTTGTGCACACAACAACAATTTTGTACGCGACATAAGAAGGAAGTGTTCATATTTTCAGCCAGGAATGGATATCTTTGCTTATAGTTCTCAACACTATAAAACTACCTAAATACATCTTTGGCTCACTGTTATGGGGAATAGCTTCTAAGGTACTTTCTATAATGTTTGTAGGGCACAGAAGCAGGTTATGTTTCTTCATTTGTTATGATGACTTGATGATTTATTGACGCTACAGGCATGTATAGAGAAGGACAGAATATAAAGGAACCAACCTGCAAATCAAACTCTATATCCAGGGGGAGTACACCTTTGTTCAATATGTACCTCTGGAAATGTATTAGGAAGCGATCAAGTTTTCGCTTCGATGAACCTCGATCAAAGTAGTGCCCACAGGTTTCAAGTAGTGTAACAACCATCCTGATACGGAAACAATCCTCGGGAGGATCCAGCACATCTTGCTGTGGGGAAAAAAACTTGCATCAGATATCAGTAAATGGTTCTCTAGAATAAGAAATTAAACTAGGAACGAAAGGATTTGAATTTCATTTTAAAAGTACAGAGCTAGATCTATGTCGTCAAAAAGGCCACCACCAGTAACCAAGCAATGACAAGATATAACTAACTTAAATCAAATAAAAGTGGCATGAGCCAAAGTCCTGAATAATTGAAGTTCTAAAATAATATTTTAAGACAATAGACCCTTGTGGTCCAGCCCTTCCCCGGACCCCGCACATAGGGGGAGCTTAGTGCACCGGGCTGCCCTTTTAAAATAATATTTTAAGAGCATGAAGCCTATTCATTAAGCACAAATATTAATAACAATGTGAAAGCATAATATAATTATATGCATTATTGCCAGATTTTCTTTCATAATGATAGCCACAGTAATGCCCCTTCAGGAATAACTTGTCAACCATTGAGGTTAGTAAAACTAATTATAATGCCAATGAAATAAGCTTATTATAACCACAGTCGGAGAAACTTTATTTTTTATATTCAACTTATTATATTAGTTTTCCATAGTTTATAACCAGTTAGGAAGAGTTCTATCACAGCTATCTTTCTCATCTTCAAGTTATGTCATTATCTCAAGGATTCTTCCAAATGAGATCAAGCTCCAAAGCCGGTCTTGCAGAGCAGAGCTAACATATTCAAGGAAAACAGGTCTCATAGTGCCACATTCTCCTGAACCGGCCATGTTAACAAAACTGTTTTCCCTATAAATAATACATAACATCAATGTAACTGAAGATTGGTTAAAAGCAGATCCATACCTCAGATGTTTCATGGCCAAAAACGAGAATCAAATAGAGCGTGTCAAATATAACAGAGGAATCAACAAGTTCATAGTTATATAATTCCCCTAGGAAACGCATGTGAGCAATACGTCTTTGCTGCATCCCGAAGTCATTCAACTCTAATCCCACCCTGATCTCCTCCAGAACCTATAGAATTCAAAATTCAAAGTTTAAATTGCAAATGCAGCATCAAGTGTATGATGCCATAAGATCATATATATCGGTCAATTAGAGCACAATGAACATAGAGGAACCATATAGCAGACCCAAACAGTCTGGGATTGAGAGCTATTTATTGATCAATTGATATAGTGGTTAAAGATGCCCAGCCCTTCAGCATTAGAAGAACAAAGTCACGAGGTTATTTTGTGGTTACTTGCAAAGCGTGACCCAAAAAAGAGAATAAACAAGGAAAATCAGTAAGATCTAAATTTGTTTATGCCACATAAATGTGGTTCAGATATCAAAAAGGCATAAGATGGAAAATTTTCTGTTCTTCATAGTTTCAAGCGCCTAAAAGTCCAATAAACTAAAGCTAGATTTTGCAACTGATTGGGATGAAGTTGGAATCTCATTAAGATATACATATAATTTCTCTTTCACTATCTTGATATATCAAACTTCAAAAATATCTTTCCGAGTTTTGAGAAGTGGATCCAGTTCTCTTTATGGGGTCTGAGTGTGTGTCTTCCCTTGATAGAATCCGTGCTGCTATGGTTATTTTATATTTTGAGTGTTTTGGTATTTATTTTTCACATTCCTTTGTACTTAAATCAATTGTTAACATATATGGAAGAAAAGTTTGTCACTTTACTTTCTAGCTATTGCGAAAATTCTCTTTTTATCTTTTGGGACAGGTAACTAGTGATTACATAAAATAAAAACAAACATCACTAAAATGGTTCCAAGGAAATACAATGTTGTCAACAGAGGCGGACCCAGGATTTGAGCTCAGCGGGGGCACCGCTATATACATAGATATGTCAGCTAGTAACGATAAAATAAATTTGGCGTGCTAACTCCTCGTAAACTCAATGATTTTGTATCAGTGACCGAAAGGATGTTCAAAAATATCATAAACTTAAGTCTAATAACAACAAGATTAAAGGTCTGTTAAGCTGTCCATGTAGAGTCTCAGTCATGCCGTTGAATTGACTGATATCGCATAAGGATTTTTGGAGTTTTTTATTACTGTTTTTGGGAAATTTTTTATTGAATGGCTTATTTTTATACAGGTCAAGAAAATAGTAAAGCTTATAAACTTAATTATCACGATAAAGAAGGTAATTGGCTTCTTGCTAATGGAATATCTTATCCCCTTGCAATTTCCTTTAATCTTTTTATGTTTCTCTCTATTACCTTTTCAATATCTAGAAGAAGGATGTTTCTCAAAGTTAGGAGATTCAGACTATTTGTGTTTAAGTTGACTACTATATTGTTCATGAACTTAGAAAAGATAAAGAGAGAGAAAAAACAAGATGAGCACTAAATACACAATTCTATTCTACCTTAAATTCATAGAGGGAAAAATTAAAATGAAAAAAACGCTAGTGTTTGGGCTCGAACCCAGGTGATATGGCAACTGAGGGAACACAAGCGGAATGCTAAACCAGATGTGCAGTCCTTCTTTTGAGTTTAGGGGGCACATAAAAAATATTTAAGGGGTCCTTGTTGTATATACATATTATATATACACGATTTTTGCCGAGGCTAACGGGTTTCGGTGACCCCTCTAGTCCCCATGTAGGTCCGCCTCTGGCTGTCAACCCCTCTATACAAAAATAAAAAGAAGGGGTTCCAGATAGCTGTACACTGTACATGATTCTAGAGTCTGAAATCAAGCAAGCTATTTTCATCTTTAACCTTGGGCGGGTTGGGTGAGTTATAATATTATGGGCTAAAATTGCCACACTAGTTATTTTATGTAACTCCATTAGAGCTTCAGCTTCCTCTGCCATTATTAACTCAAACACGGCACTCTCTTCTGGAATATCATCCAGCGCCTATAACTTGCTTAACAGATTTACCTTCCTTTTTCTCTATGCTATCAAAGGCTAACCATTCTACTCCTTCAAATTATGTTCCAACAGCTTCAATTTTTAGCTGACACATAATTTGGTCTCGCGCCGACTATGAAAGAGTCCAACCAAACTTTTACCATTTCAACAAACCCCTTGTATTCAAGACAGATGTTCTCGAATTAAAAAATCAGAACTTCCTCTCTTCAATTGACTGCAGTCAGTTCTATGAGGTTATGTCAGCAATGATTTTTGGTTAAATTGCTGGTCTGATATGAATATATCATTGCATTCATTATAAAATAAACTCCATCTGTCCTCAAGGTTGTAGAGTAACATTATCCCCCTTAGCCCATGCAATGTTTCCTCTGGACCACTGAGGGTCTATTAACTCCAGGTCAACTCCTTAATTGCTAGAGAGTAGGTATCCCAGTCTTCTCCTTCACCGCAGAAATCTGGTGACGTTAAAGTCAACAGTTAAGATCCCTGGAAGCCTGGGAAAGGTTGTTGAAGAATACAAGTCACTGCGCAACAATGGCTACTCAGATCAATGCCCTGACTCCAATTAAAGTCATTGACCTTGGAGTTGCAGAGGAAAGACTCCAGATCATATATGGTTCGAAGTCATTGAGCTGAGAGTGTCAGAAGAAAGACTGTTACTGGAGCATCCAGATCATTCATCTGGATCCGATCATTGACCTGGACTCTGGCGAGAGGGTTGCTGAATCCGAGTTTTTTCTTGGGAAATAAGTTTGTGAGTTTCCAGTTTTGCCCCCCTGGGCATTATAAATAGTTTATTTCATTAGGCTTAGAAGTTTAATTTCGATCGTGGTGGAAGTCTTGTAGACTCATGTGAGGTTTCCGAAAACTGAGGATTCTCATGGAACTCCATGAATTGCCATCAAGCTTGTGACCTTGTTCATCTTCTTGAAAGTTTATATCTCTGGTTCTTTTGATATTCTATAGGAGGTGATTGGTTCATATACCAATTGTTGCCATAGTTATTAAATTAGGTCTTAGATCCTTTCTTTCTATACATTCTATCTATGTTTCTTTTCTGATATTAGCTATTCCGCTGACGAATATTGTCTTGGTTGTACTTTCATAAACTTGACTGTTATTGCCTGCAACCAGGGATGACACTATAACCCCCTCACAGCTACTAGCTCCCCCCCCCCCCCCCCCCCACAAATAGTTCCTTTTTATCTTCGCTCATATTAGGCCAAATAAACACCCATTGAAGTCCAAGTGAAATTTTATAAGAGTTGAGGTAAAAGAGAATGGGAGCCACATTATCCAATTTTCTTCAAGCTAATCGATAATGAATCTTCCCTCATAGTAAGACCAAGAACGCACAAGAAAAAAGCAATCAATAAGTGAATGATACATTAATTAAAAAAAATTCCCATATTGTCTGTACAATTTAAATAATAGTACACATAGAAAAATTGTAAAAATGAAAATGAAGATACCTAATTTCTTTTTGAGGATAAAATTTGATATCATATATCAAAAAAAAATATATCACACAATAATTTATCTTCTTTTTAATAAATAAAAGGCGTTCGTTCAACTATAGGTCAGGACATACTTGTATTGTAAGTTTGTAATGCAAATTTTGTAGCTGAATATATTGCCTTTTGCCAATTCAATTCCATTCTACAACAGAAATGCAGAATTAAGATGAAAATATTCATTACAATTTTATGGAGAAAGTAGTAAGAGAGAGCTATTCTGATTACTGAACATACAACACTATTTCATTTCTTTATCAGGTTGGTTTTATGTCTTTTTTCTTTTAAATTTGTTTCTTGAGTTGTCCATCGCTGCAGTCAATGCAAGTTAAAGGAGCCCCGAGAAAGTTCAAAGGTCAAGGTATTGTATATGCTGAAACTAGTGTAAGTGACAGACAGTTGTGCAATGAAAAGGACAAACCTCATCAACAACGGCAACAGCAAAATCATCATGATAGCGACTTAAACCAGCAGTAAGTGATGCAATCAAATGAATCTGACCATACTTGCCCCTGTGAACCTTCATGAAACACTTCAAGAGGTATGCCTCGCATTCACTCCAAGGAAGCTTACGAAGCTGTCTGAGCACATGCTCTATTGAAGACTTGTCAAGATCCGAAAAGAGCAATTTTCTTATGTACTGCATAATCCATGGCATAAAGTTTAAACTCTGCATTATTACAGCTCATAAACTACAGAAGCTGCAAATTACATGTACCTGATGCAAAGGAGGCCGAACTTTAGACACTCGCGCAGATCTTTCCGGTGGCTTGCATAAGTAATATGCATTCTCCACTAAGGTAATGTGGCGAGGGTCCAAATTTTTAACATTCTTCAGACGCATTAATATCTCTAACATGTTTGCCATGCGTATTGCAGTTTCAGGAGATCGGTAAAGAAAACGCCCACATGTCTCGAGAAGATTGCAAGCAACATCAATATTGTGATGACTGAATTCATCCAAACAAGCCTGAGGAAAAAGGACGCAGCAGCATCAATCCAAATCTAATTCTTACTAACCCTAACAAGCATAACTTCTAATCCACAAACTTTACAACAAACAAAAAGCACTAAACACTTTTGAAGCCCTTAGCATGTGAAACTGTTAGTTATAGTTTGACAACCTATCTTCAGTAAGGACCTTTAGTCTTTTTATCAGCATAGGGATTGCTAGAGAGCAGATATCACTGCCCTGCCATAGTCATAAGTCTGTCTGTTATCATGAGTCACAACTATTGTCATAATCGAGGCAGGTGTTGCTGATGCATCCACAAACTTATTTTTTCTCTGGGTAGAGGAGAGAAACTAATTTTCTTGAATTGCTCAGCGACTTTTCAAGATAAGCATGGCAAGTCAAAAGTTTGCTAGCAACCATGTGATAGGGGACGGAATGCCAAACCAAGTATTTTTCCCATGATTCAAAATAGAAAAGGAAAAGGAAGCTAAGTCATCCCTCCTCAATTACACTAAGCATCTGTATTAAGCTTACTCTTCATACCTTTAGACAACTGAAGACAAGGCCAGGTGGTGCCATTCTAAATTTGCAGAGCTCTCCAATAAAACGAATATTCCTTATTTTTGTTTCTATATTCATTTGATCCTGCAAAGCAGACATAATTAAAATAAATAAACAATTTTTACTTCTTGTTGATCGTATCCTTTTAAGTCAGTGCATCACTACATACTGAAGGCTACAATTACCTTTTTATTTATCAGAAAGCTGAACTCCTCTTCCAACAACTGTAAAAGCATGGACGACACGTCCTTCATGCAAGTTGACAGAGTGGCCACCATGCGTGAGTAGTATGGCAACAACTCTAGTGATGTCCTGGGGACATTGAACAATGCTCTAACAAGCTTTTTCCTATTGGACTTGGAATTCAGATAGCAAAACTCCACCTGTAAAATAAATATCAGGAACAAATGTATAAATTATATCTGAAGCCACAAATAATCAATTCTTAAATAGGGACCGGGATAACAAATATTTGAAGCTTTGAGTCATGTGCTATTACTGTCAACTGGTCAATCAAATCACGGCTAACACAACTGGGTAGCCGCTGAAGCAGACCATCTAGATTAGCTCCTTCGACACCTCTTGCTTTCTCCTTGTCACCTTCTCCTTTTCTTTCAGCTTCCTTTTCTTTTGTTTTTTCCTTATCAGTCTCTTTATCCTTTTCATCTTTATCCTTGGTCTTCTCTTTATCCTTCTCATCTTTATCCCTGCCTTTATCATTTCTGTCCTCCTGCACAGCTCCAGCATCTACAGCACCCTCTGCAGTCTCTACTGCAGCAGTCTGAGCTTCATCTGCTTCACTTGCTGAATCCTTCACCAGAAAGACGAAGACAAAAAGCACCATGTCAATAATACAACACTTCGCATAGTCACAAAGCCAAGAACGATCAGAGTGCCCTGCAAAATCAGCGGAATAGCAGAAGCACAAAATGAAGTTGTACTTTGTCTTAAAGATATCCAAAGGCTATCGACAGGCTCAAACACTTAATACCACAGGTACTGTTGAATAACATATTTGTGCGAAGAAAAACTGGAACATCCACCTTCCTTGTCAAAATACAAGAAACATTGCAAAAACAAAAAAAATCCAACTTTAGGAAGTTGCAGACTTCCCATCCTCTTAGACTCCTAATTCTGTGAACAACATTAAGAAAAGTACATAAGTAAATTACCACCAACCCTTGAATATTGGTAATCGAGAAAGTATAAAAACATTCAAGTGTCTATTCATTGCTGTAACCCATTCCTCCAACACTTCAGAAAATTTAAGCATACTTCCATGAAACATGGTACAAGAATGTTCTGGCTATGAGCACAAATATCACATAACACATTAAGTTGGGCTATTGCAGGAGCAAGCAGCTAAACAAGGATACCAGAATAAAATTGATAGACATATCCCATGATTTCCTTATAGCGTAAGAAGCCAGAAGGGAAGTAAAAGTGATAAGGTACATGATAAAATCTAATTTCTTACAATCGAATGCTCTTGCGCCTTCAGAGGCTGTTCGCTCGACTTTGGTTCTGCTTCTCCAAGTAATACAGCTGGAACAAATGCTCTGCAAAAGGGAAATTGTTCACTTATGCTACATGTTGCCATTACTAGACATCCCACTTCAGGAAACAACAAAAGAAACTTCAGAATATCCTGATGAAAGATAACCTGAGATCTGGGAGACACTCATAGAAAGCCCTTGTATCTTCATCATCCCACAGGGCTTCAAGGACAGAAGAATCTTTACTGGCACCAGGGGATGATGCATCGTCCCCTGATGTTACCCTGGTTGTATGACCATCCTCAGGCATCACCGGAGGTTGCATGTCAAGTGCTTCTGCCAATCTAAAATATGAGAATGCAACAGATTAGTGTGTAAATGTAAAGAACAGAAAATATAAAGATTTTATGGAACTAACGGTACAAAACTCATCAGGCAAAGAGACAGTTGAGAACTTTTAATTTTTTGATAATGAGACAGTTAAGAACTTTACAATACAGTCTTAGTTATTGCATTATCAGAACCTTTTCTATAAGGCTGATAAAGTGGACAAATACAAAAGAATGCTGGGTTATGCAAATGCCTTCTCTAATGTTAATAGTCAGATATAGGTGTTCTGGGATGAAATAGTGGTATGTCAGGTGGTGCAGTCTGATGGGCAACAAGGGACAGTGGATGGAAGTTTTCTATAAGGCTGATAAAGTGGACAAATACAAAAGAATGCTGGGTTATGCAAATGCCTTCTCTAATGTTAATAGTCAGATATAGGTGTTCTGGGATGAAATAGTGGTATGTCAGGTGGTGCAGTCTGATGGGCAACAAGGGACAGTGGATGGAAGTTTTCTATAAGGCTGATAAAGTGGACAAATACAAAAGAATGCTGGGTTATGCAAATGCCTTCTCTAATGTTAATAGTCAGATATAGGTGTTCTGGGATGAAATAGTGGTATGTCAGGTGGTGCAGTCTGATGGGCAACAAGTTACATGTGAAGTGACAGTGGATGGAAGTTCATTTTTGATGTCATTTGTTTATGCTAAACGCAAAGCAAGTGAGAGAGCAGTCCTATGGGATAGTCTTAGGCTTATAGCTGATACTTATAAGATACCCTGGATTGTGGCTGGGGACTTCAACTGTATTATTGATCCTGGGAAAAAAAAGGGAGGAAATCCACACAGAAGGGAAAAAGTATGCCATTTTTACAGTGTATCATGGATTGGGACCTGATGGATGCTAGGTATACTGGCCCTATTTTTACCTGGTGAAATGGATGGAGTCCTAGTAGGAGCGTTTGGAAGAGATTGGACAGAGTGCTGGTAAATCGGGAATGGATGAATCAATTTGCTACTACTAATGTCTCACGCTAGTTAGACTGGTGCTGATTGTTCCCCTCTATTCAGTGAAGTGATCTCCGAGCGTAAGGAACCTATTAAATACTTTAAATTCCTGGACTTTAGGGTTAGTGAACCAGACTTCATGGAGGTGGTGGAACAAGCATGGAATGAGGAGGTTAATGGCTCCCCCATGTGGAGATCTCATTTGAAACTAAAGAACACAGCAAAGAGGTTATCTATATATGTTGCTAATAATTCTGATTAGAGCAGTAAAGAAATAGGAGAATTACTGGAAACAGAAAGCTGGGATAAATTTCGTTCGATTTTATTAGAAGGTACCAAGATGGTACAAAATTACAAACATCTAACAACTAACACAACAAGGCAACTATATTCCTCCTATGTCCTCAAGAAAATCCATATATTGTTTCCATATTTTCCATGACATGTCTTTATCACCAGAAATACAAGTTTAATAAGCATCTGTTTTTTATCCTAGATACATGCTGCCTTTCGCCTTCAAAGAAAATCCTGTTCCTTTCCAACCATATTGTCCAGAACACACATAAAGGACTTGTTCTCCATACTATCTGTTGACTTTTTGCCACTTCTTTTTGGTGTTGCCATGTCTCCAACAAACTCTTTACATTGGAAGGCATTGCCCACTTGACACCATGTATAGGAAGAGCTCCCAGCATTGTTTTGCCACTCTGCAATGGATGAGTAGATGATTGTTTGTTTCTGCCTCTTCTTCACATATGTAACACCTGTTGCATAGAACAAAACCTCTCTTCTGCAAGTTCTCCAGAAATAGAAAAGCTTCCTTTGCTGCAATCCAACCAAAACAGGCTACTTTAACAGGTGCTATTGATTTCCATATTACTTTCCATGGCCAATTTGATTGATAAAGCCCTTGTTTTTGTAACAAGCTATAAGAACTGCTGACTGGGAAAATATCATCATTGCTTACTGCCCAAATTAAGGAGAGATCTCTCCTGTTTTCCTCCAATCTAACATTGTCCAACGACTGCATCAATTGAGAGAATTCATCAACTTCACAGTCATTGAGACCTCTCCTGAAGATTAGCTGCCAACCAGTGCTTGAGTAGAAGTCTAAGAGTCTTCCATTTTTTGTTAGTAGAGCAACTATATAGAAAAGGAAACTTTGATCTAAGACTTTAAATACCCCACCATATATAAGACCAAAACTTGGTATTATTACCATTCCCCTGTTTCAATTTCACAAACTGACTATATTCATTCGAAAGATTACTAATTGTGCTCCAAACTCCCCCATTTGAAGAAGATTGAATTGAGCAAGGAGCCCACATGTCCTTACTACCATACTTGGCATCTATCACCTTTTTCCATAATCCGTTTATATCATCATTATATCTCCAAACTCCAAACCCATTTAAATAAAAGACTTTTGTTATTCAGCTTTAGATTCCACCCTCTTAATCCCCCTCCTTTCTTTTCTTTCATCACCTCCTGCCATTTGACCACATGAAACTTCTTGTTATCATCATTACCTTCCTAAAAATTAGTTCCTCATAGAATTCAGTTTTTTCTCCAATAATGTTGGCATTTTAAAGAGAGATATCAAATAAGTAGGGATACCATCAATCACACCATTGACCAGTGTAAGTCTACAATCAAGAAATAAATATAGCCATTTTCATGGCACCAGTTCACTGCTATATCTATCCAAGACCCTGCGCCACATGTTTGCATTATTCTTTTGGCTCCAAGTGGTAGGCCTAGATAGGTGGTTGGTAGCCGCTCCACCTTAAAACCCATAACATCTGCCAGATCATTAATACAAAGCTCAGCAATATACTAAACACATTACTCTTCGCCAACTTCACTTTCAAGCCTGACACAGCCTCAAAAGCTAGTAGTACTCCTCTGAGGTGTAAGAGTTGATCTTTTTCAGCTTCACATAATATCAAGGTCTCATGTGCATCGAGTATGTATGAGACATTCAGTTCTTCCCCTCATTAGTAGCAATACGGCTTAAGCTATGCCAATTCTACTAGGGTTGCATATTTGTATTGATAGAGCTTTTCATAAGATTATTGTTGAATCTAATTTATGTTGGTTAATATGGTCAATAAGAAAGTCAGACCTCCATGGAAGATTCACAGCATCATGGCACAGATAAGGGATTTGATACAGAAGGGATCCTTCTAGGGATGGTAAACAATGCGGTGCGGTACGGTGCGGCGCGGGTTTTGTTTTAATCCGCAAAATTTCAAACCGCGCCGCTCCACATAGCATTAGCACCCGCGTCCACCCTCCCCGCTCCGCCACGCCCTAACCCGCCTCACCCCACAAAATCCTTTTTTTCAATTTGTCGTATTTTTATTTTTATTTATTTTTTACTTTTCAATTATATTTATATATGTCATTGCCAATCTAACAGTGAAAGTGCGATTCATGTTCAAGTAAAAGTGCTCTTAACCATTATTTCTTTTGATTAAAAGTACCCTTAACCACTATTCCATATCTTTCAAAAAAAGATGGAAAACATTACGAGGGTGGTTCAGAATATACCGTTAATGACATTGTCTCCCTGTCCCTTACTTATTTTATACTTTATCATCCCGGCCTTTAAAAATGTGTCCATGTCATTATCAATATTACAGAACTTGGAATTAGCTACTGATAAGTTTTTTGATAACCGCTAAATTCCACGAGGCCTGTCAGTTTGTTTT